TTCCTGCTGTTGTCAGAATATTCCATTATTCCTCAGATGACATTATTATGGAGCTTTAAAAAATAACTCATCCAACTTGCTTGTTTTGAAAGTTCCATAATATTCTTACAAACATGAACCTTCACGGCTTTAGCAGTGTTGCTACAGAAAGTTCTTAAGAAAGGTGAATTGAAGATGCTTTGTGGACAAACTTACAAGGGGCTAAAGTCTGTGGAAAAATTATTTAACTTTTAGCGTTCTTCTGTGTAATATAAACTAGCTGATGAGATCAAATTGCTCTTCTGTCATTCATTTTATTTGGAGTAAAACAGTTTCTGAGGTCTTAGTCATCCTCTGAATATACAGGAAGATCTTCATTTTTTCTTCACTATGGTAATGCTCAGACTTACTAAGAAAATGTATCTAAAATGCCAAGATGACTAAACAGAACAAGAAAAGAGCAACACTTCTCCAGTGAGAAGGTCAAAGAACTGAAAAGGCTCGGTCTTTTTTTTTTGTTTGGGGTTTTTTTGTGTGTGTGTGGAGGGAGGGAAGGAGTGGGGCCAGCAACTCTGTGAATAAACTTGTGGTATAAATTAGATGACGTCTTTCATAATATGTTACTTCAAAACACAGTGAAGAGTCAAATTGTAGAAATTCCCTCCCCTCCTACTTTCTAACTCAAAGGACATGACAGTTCAGCTCTGAGGGACTGTGTATTATGTAAAGGTCTGAAGCACTTTTGCAGTTATCTTCTGGTTTGGCATCATCACTGAATTTTGTTCAAAGCACAAAAGGGATTACTCAACAATTCTGTTCTTCATGGTAGAAATGCTGAGTCTTTGCCAAAGCTGGATAATATCAGAACATCAGTTTTTCTTCTTATTATTTTTATTTTACTCTGACAATGGTGATTGTTGACTATTTCCAGCCAGAAAGCTGTTGAACAGAAGTTAGCAATTCTTGCCTGAATTTAGGATCCCTGGTGACAGAGTTATCTCTGGAAGGTCTTGTTTCAACTGCTTGCGTGGGGTCTTTGTAGCGCTTTGAGAATTAGTGCTGCAAATATTGCTCAGTCATCTGCCATTCAAGATACTGAAAAGATGCTCTGAGTTATACTATGGAGGATAATTAAGATGCCAGACAAAAGGAGAATTTCTTCAATAATTCAAACCACCTGAAAACTGAAGTCAAGTCCTTTCCTGATTGGAGATAAATAAATTTGGGAGTATTGCTTAATTTTTAAGTTAATCAAAAAGATTTTGTTACCTGGAAATTTTATGATGCACATAAAAAGAAGACTTGAGGAGATGAAGGATTCAGTCAACCAACTTTGTCAGCTACTGTGATCCTTCAGTTTCTACATTTTGAGTTAACAAAAATGATCACATCTTTGTAGCCTCTGCATTGTGATTTAGTCCCAGCCAGTAACTAAGCACCACTTACCTACTCAATCTCTCCCCCTGCAACTCCTAACAGGAGGGCAGAGAGAATTGGAAGAGTGAAAGTGTGAAAACTCATGGATTGAGATACGAACAGTTTAATAATTGAAATAAAATAATAATAATAAATTGTAATGGAAAGGAAAATAATAAAAAAAGATAAATAATACCCAAGAAAAACAAGTGATGCAAATGAAAAACAGTTCTTGCCACCTGCTGACTAATGCCCAGTCAAGACCCCAAGCAGCAATCACTGTCCCCTCGCCAACTCCTCCCCATTTATATGCTGAGCATAACATCATATGGTATGGAATATCCCTTTGGCCAGTTTGGGTCAGCTGTCCTGGCTGTGCCCTCCCAGCTTCTTGTGCTGCACCTCCAGCCTTCTCACTGTCAGGGCATGAGAAGCTGAAAAGTTCTTGAGTTAGTGTAGATACTACAACTACCTAGCAACAACCAAAACATCAGTGTGTTATCAACATTATTCTCATACTAAATCCGAATCACAATGCTATACCTACTACTAAGAAGAAAATTAACTCTATCCCAGTGAAAACCAGGACACTCTGCTGAATAAGAAAGCAGAACAAGAAAGTGATGTTTTACTGTCCAACTGACTTCTCCAAATCTTAGTATGGCTTTTTTCAATTTATTAAGTACATATTACAGAAACATTCTTCTCAACTTGAGGCTGCAGTCTGTAGTGCCTTCATTTTGCATCTTTGCTTTCAGGTGGCAAAGTTTATCACTGAGATTATTCATGTGAAGGTATTTTTATGACATGCTTAGTAAGGAAGACTTCAGCCATCTGAAATGTTACTGTCTAGAAGAAAGACAGTTGTATAAAATGTAAAGAAAAAGGAATGGAATTTGGTCCATGTTTAAAAAAAAAAAAAAAGCAGCTACTTCTTGGTGGCTTATGCTTAAAAGCAATGCTTGTAACACTTAAGGAACTTCAGTGGCCCACAGTTAAAGGTACTAGAACAAGAGTTGAAAATGATTAAGAGATCAAGAAGATGAGTGTAATCAAGGCTTCAATGAAAATGAACTTCACCTCTGTTGCCTTAGTTAGGGCAACTATTTATTATTATTTCCTGAAACAGATTTTAGGTCTCTTGTTTCGTGGAAATTAAGAGATTTGGCTGATGAAAGAATAACAGTGGATTAAGAAATCTGGTATTTGGCAGCTGTGTGGTATTGCATTCTCCATCATGATTTAAAGAAGCAAATCTACACTTTGGCATGGGCTTTTACCGCAAGTATGTAGACCCTTCAGTATAGTAAGTTCAAACTTTACTGTCCAGGCATTTCAGTTATCCACCTCCAATCTTACCCATTTAGGTCTCTCTTTAGTTCTATCCTCTTTCTGCTGTGCTGAAAATAGCAGCCACGGAACATGCACATGCTATTTATCTTTCTAACAATTGTCCTTGCACTTTCTTTTGTGCTGTACCCTTGTCCTTTTTTTGATTTAGAGCCACTCCTGTTATATTGTCTATAAGTAATCTGCCAACTAACAATAACTTCTTCAGCAACAGATGTAGACAATGATTGGAAAAATTTCTGAACCATCAAGTTGTGCACATTAGTAATCTGTGTAACAGTGAGATTACTGTTACCCTTCTCCTTCCTCTTCTGCATACTTGTTGCCTCTTGTCCTTAATGTTATTTTAATCTCTTTGGGGCAGGGACTGTGTCTTCCTGTGATTAGCGTAGTGGAGCCCCAGCTATGATTGGGGTCTTCGAATGTTACTGACGTGCAAACAAATACAAAACAAAAACAAAAAATTGGCCTCTGTGGATAAGGTACTGCACTGGGAGTAAGGAGAACTGATTTCTGTTCCCAGCGGGGTCAGTGACATGCTGTGAGACACTGTGCAAATCGCTTCAACCCTCTCTGCCTCCATTTGTCCATCAGTAAAGTGAGGATAATTCTTCCTTTATTAATAAGTGCTTTGAAACCTACAGCACAAAAGCATTATAACAAAGGTAAGTAGTATTACTATTAACAATAATACTCAAATATCCAACTCTTGTTCACTGCTAACAGGTTTCTGTACCATTTGGCTGGATTTAGAATACTGGATATAGCTTTAACTTTCTTGTTACTAAAAAGAACCTTATTTATGAAGACTATCGAGGAAAAAAACTCACAAGAAAAATAAAATCAAACTTTCCCTTTATGAAGTGTGCGTATGTTCAAAACAGAGCTACAAGAAGAATGTGTGGACTGTACCTTTCTGGAGCAACATAACACTTTCTTTTAAACCTTGCATTTTAAAATACAGCATCAGCGTGGTAACATATACAAAGCTTGTGTGTGTGGTTTTGCTTTTAGTAAAAAAATTCCTACTCTGTTCTTTTTGCTTCATGTGTTCTCCTACTTGATGGCTTAGCTTATCATCAGGTCCTGGTTCCTTTACTTCCCTGCTTGTTTTTTCAAAGCTCCTGTTTAACTACCCTTTACCGTAAGAGGCTTAGAAGATCCAAAGTAAAATTCTTTAAAGTTCTCCTGAGATACAGAAGTTGCAAAGGAGGAGATTGAGTTGGGTTGTGAAATTGAATTTGTTGGTTTATGTACAGTCAGTACTAGCCGATTCCATAATTGTTAAGGGTCACTCTGGAATATCATTCTCTTTGAATAAAGTAGTTGAGGTCAGAGGTTCTGTCCATACATAGTGCACCACTGGCTAAATTAAAAGTGTATAATTATGTGATGGGAGGCTTTATCACATATGTAAACTTGGAGAATATTATGTAAGTGCTACCTTCTAAATACTCTTTGCAGAGGAAGGTGCCTTGGTACGTCACTTGAGTTAGAAAACAGCTATAGCTTTTGAGACTTTGTTGTTTTTAATTACTAAATATGTGAATAAATGGTTTCAGAATTAACACATGTAGTCTCTAACTTAGAGGAGGGGAAGAGATGTTTGTGTCAAGCCATAACTTTGTTGCCTGAAATAGTCTTATTTGTATGTCAGAACATAGTAATGAACTTGATCAGAGCTACAATATGAATTCACTCATTTTTTTTCATTCTAGTGGAACTTCTGTTGAAGAATTTTGTATTTGAAATATTAGTATTTGAAATTCCTTTTTAGAATTTTTGTGCTGGTTTTTAAAATAATTTATACTTACCAACTTGAACACGATCTCCATCTCTCTTCCAATGCCACTAGGAAAAGTGCTGTTAATATTGATGTGCTAGAAGTATAGACTAGGAAGCTCCAAAGAAATGTGGATGTGTCCGGAAATGTCTGTTCAGCCTTAGAGGAATCATGTAGTTATTATCTGAGTTTTCTCTGATAGTCTTCAAAGTTTCAAGTTTACTTTACAGTTCTTATTTGTTCTGTCTTTAGAGCAAGAGAATGTATTAAATAAAACAATGAAATTTGTTTTAAATAGTAATGCTGCAGCATGTATGGGTCTATCTGCATGCACCTATTTTGTATTTTTAAATCTTATTTTTAAATTAGGGATTGCAGATAGGAACAAGAGAACTGGAAGAGATGGGAGCAAAGTTCTGTGTTGGCTTACTGCGTTTAAAAAGAGTGGCCTCACCGTTGGAATACAATCTGCCTTCTAGTCTGTTGGATATTGAAAATGACCTGATTGAGTCAAGCTGCAAAGTGACAAGGTAGTACACATTTACTATATTTACTTCTTTTTTTTTTTTTTTTTTCCTCCCAGGAAAAATTGCAGTTTCTCAAGAGAGGTAAAGATTCTCTCAAAAATGTTTTTCCACTCATAAAAAAATAACATTGATGTGTTGTGACCTGTTAGTGTAACAATAATCTGAATATATTGGAGACCTATTGTGTTAATTAAATTGCTTCGAACTTTTAAAGAAAACAATAAACACAGAGTTAGACTATATGTCACATTTTGTTGCTGGGATAAATGCCAGCAATTTTAATGTCATTGGGGAGTTATATGCAGTAAAATTCAGTAAGTTTTAGCTCTCAGTTGTCTCTCTGAGAGCATTTTCTTCTCTTTCTAATACTGGCCACAGTATTAAAAATATATTTAGACAGACTTCAAGTACGTGAGTTAAAGCACTTTAGAAAACCGTTTTCTTCCAAACTAGTTTTGTTGGGTTTTTTCCCCCTCTGGTAGACATATGTAACAACATTTAAAGAATTTAAAACATGTGAAATAAGGTTTGGGTCACAAAAGAAATGTGTATCTGCTCAGTAGCTAGCTTATTAAGTTGCCAATTCTTAAAGCTCTAGATAGGCTTGCAGAAGTATGCATACTATTGCATATTTCCATTCATGTAATTCATCACTGAAGTATCCACATATACATGGTAATTGGAGGTGCACAGCAAATTATTTCAAATGTACAAGCATCTCTTTCTGAAAATCTGGTTAGAGATTAATTAAAGCAGAATTCCAGACTTCAAAAAAGAATTAAATTAGAAAAGAATAAGATTTACACACTGTAATATGTTATCACTTGGCATACTTAGAGCCTAAAACATTTTTGTAGCGGCCTTGGCTGTATCTCCAACTTAGCTAAAGCAATACTGTGGAAATCAAAGTTGTTACTGGTTTTGTGCAACTGAAACAAGACTTGAGACTTGAGACTAAGACTTTCATTGGATGCTAGACAAATGAGCAATTTGTCTTAGACTATGCAAAACTAGCAGAGATATGGGAGGGCATCTGTGGTACCCTATGGAAGGGGGAGGTGATGTTTAGTTCCAGCATTTAAACACATGTTTTCAGAATGTGGAGTACTGACAAAGACTGGAGCTTGTGTTCATGCTTAGCATTTACAGAACATAATGAAAAGTGAAGTATAAGCTAAAAGGTGATAAGAACAATAGGAGAGTGTCTTAAGAAAATGGTTAAAAGTGTATGAAGAGTAGCTGTGATGTGTAGACATCTATCATTCCAGTGATGGCTGGATCCCCCAGTATCATTTCCTCCCTAGTACAGCATTGGCTTGCTTGTAATGGCTGGATTTTTACTGTTAGATCAGTTTTTGTGCTTGGGTAAGGCTTAGTGATTCCTGGAAGAGATACAATCAGAAGGCAGCTTGGGAGTAACTCACCCCAACCAGTGTGCAAGCCTCACTGAAGTGTGGGTATGCTCACTGAGAAAGAGTCATATGGCAGATGGTGAAAAAAGCAGAAAGTTCTCTACAACTGATGGAATGGCATTAGCATGGTGTCTCCAGTGCAGACAAAACACAGCATTTCAATCACTAAGAATGCCTTGGTGGTGTTTACTGTACTAATATAACATTGATACCATAACAATGGTAGCAGCAGAGAGCAGTGCTCACCACTTGTAACATTACTTTTCAGTGTATCACTCTAAATTTTCATTTGATGTATGAATTACCATCAGCCTTGTAAGATGTAGTTTGAAAGTGTAAATAAAATACCAGTGGCTTTGGTTTTGCAAGTGTAAAACCGTATTCTACTATCTCTATAGTGTGTTTCTGTCGTGATTTTACCCCATCTGGGGCTAAACCATGACAGTATCAGTTAAAAGAAAGAGGTGGGGAGGATAAACTGTGAATGGTCTTAAACTCTTTTTCTTTTATTCCTTGCCTTAGTTGACAATTTAGCCATTAGAATGAATTAATATAATTACCTTTTTTATCTGAAAAGTCTCTAGCTTGTGCATTTGTATAGTGTAGTAGTTTAATGAGTGATACTACAGAGAGATTAGCACAGAAAATCTGCTTCCACTGCTATTACGCTGGGGACTGAGAGAGTTGATCATCAGGTAACTGTGGAAAGCAGTTCTCTTGTCCTAAGCTTTTGGATTAGGAAAACACAGATTCCAGTTTTGTTTTGTCTCACAGGCAGGGATCAGGCTATGGAGAAAAAAAAAAGGTATTGTTTTATATGTATTGCCAAGGATTCTGGATATTTATCATCTGAAGGTAATCTGTTTAGGATTCTTCTTAAATATATGAGGAGCTTACTGTCTGATACAGATTTCCATTCTTTGGGATGAGATGTAAGTGTTGACAAAAGAGACCAAAACTTAAGAAATTAAAAATGTTAACTGCTAAGGAAGTGTATAGATGCTTGAAAAAAGTTACGTAGTGCACGTTGGATATATTCCTTGACATAAAGCTGGGAAGCAAGGGGCAATGTTTTATACTGTAAAGCTCTTGTGAGAAATCACCAGATGGAATTCCAACTTTGTGACAGAGGAAGCTGTTTTTACTACAGCAAACAAAATTGTTTTGATTACAATTTTCATTACAAGGCCATTATCAAAATGAAAAGGAAGACTAGGAGGAGGAGGAGGAAAGAACTTGACAGCTGCCTTCAAATACAAGAAGACAGAGGCAGAGTCTTTTCTCTCTAGGGCGGGCAGGACCAGGAGTAATAGCCTTAAATTACAGGGAAAAGCTAGTCTAGATGTTAGGTAGAAATTCTATATGGCAAGCAAAAATGAAGTTCCGGAATAGTCATTTGGGGAAGTTGCAGAGTCTTCAGAGGAGATTAAGAATAGCAGAGACAGTCTGGAATGGCAGTGGGAACAGCTGAATTAGCCTTAACGCACAGAGGTACGCAAAGGGGCTGTGCAAAACTTCTTTGCTAAGTATTGTACTTAAAATAAATGACATATTCATAAATACTAAATAATTAAAGTCACTTTGACTCTCTTTAAAGCATTGCTTTACAGCATTCTCCCAAGCATCTGCATGTAAGCAAGGAAGTGCCTATGAGGGACCATATAGAAAAAGCCCCAGACCCTTCTGGGAAATAAGCATGCTGGGGTGCCTCTTTGAAGTGCATGCACAGTAATGCATGCAGAATTGGGAATAAATATGAGGAGTTAAAGATCTGTGTGCACTTGTAGGGCTATGGTCTTGTTGGGATCATGGAGACATGATGGGATGCCTCACACAACTGGAGTGCTGCAGTAGAGGGATACAGGCTGTCTAAGTAAAGACAGGCTGGGAAGACAAAGAGGAGGAGTTGCCCTTTATGTGAGGGAGCAGCTAGAATGCATGGAGATCTGCCTGGGGATGAATGATGAGCCAACTGAGAGCTCATGGGTGAGGATTAAAGAGCAGATCACTCTGCGTGACATGGTAGCGGGTGTCTGCAGTAGGCTGCGTGACCAGGAAGAACAAATGGATCAGACCTTCTACAGACAGCTAGAAGCAGCCTCATGTTTTCAAGCCCTGGTCCTCATGGGGGACTTCAACCACCCCAATATCTGCTGGAGGAACAACACATCAGGGCATAAACAATCCAGGAGCTCACTGGAGAGCACTGATGATAACTGCGGGAACCAAGTGATACAAGAACCAACAAGGAGAGGTGCTCTGCTGGATCTGGTACTCACAAACAAGGATGTGCTGTTTGCGATGTGAACATTGAAGGCAGCCTTGGCTGCAGTTACCACGAGATGATGGAGTTCAGGTTCCCAAGAGGGGGAAGCAGGCAAAAGGTAAAATCACAACCCTGGACTTGAGGAGAGCACACTTTGGTCTCTTCACGGATCTGCTTGGAAGAGTGCTACGGAATAAGACCCTGGAGGGAAGAGGGACCCAAGAAAGCTCATGGCTATTCAAGGACCACATCCTCCAAGCTCAAGAGCAGTCCATCCCCATGAGCAGGAATTTGGATAAAAATGCCAGGAAGCCTGGCATTCATGGATTAATGAGGAGCTCCTGGCAAAACTCAGATGTGTAAAGAAAATGCATAGAAGGTGGAAGCAGAGACAGGTAACCTGGGAAGAATATAGAGGCACTGTCAGAGTATGCAGAGACATAGTTAGGAAGGATAAAGTCCACCTAGAGTTGAATCTGGCATTGGATGTCAAAGGCAACAAGAAGGTCTTCTATAAGTACGTACGTAGTAAAAGGAAGACTAGGGAAAATAATGGCTCCACTGCTGAATGAGGCAAGAGCCCTGTCAACACAGGACATGGAAAAGGCTGAGGTACTGAATGCCTTCTTCACCTTAGTCTTTATTAGCAAGACCAGCTTTCAGTAATCTGAGGACCCAGAGACAGAGGAAAGTCTAGGGCAAGGAAGACTTACCCCTAGTAGAAGAGGAACAGGCTGGAGAATACTTAAGCAAACTGGACTTATAGGTCCTTATGAGATGCACACACAAATGCTAAGAGCTGGCTGATGTCACTGCGAGGCCATCTCAGTAATCTTTGAATGATCATGGTGATTGGGACAGGTGCCTGAAGATTGGAGGAAAGCAGATGTCTTGCCTATCTTCAAGAAGAGCAAGGAGGAGGACCCGGGGAACTACAGGCTGGTCAGCCTCACCTTGATCCCTGGGAAGGTGATGAAACAACTAATCCTGGAAAGCATTTCCAGCCCCATTAAGGAGTAGGAGATTGTGAGCAGTCAACACAAATTCACTAAGGGAGGTCATGCTTGACCAACATAGTAACCTTCTACAATGAAATGATTGACTTGGTAGATGTGGGAAATAAAATGGATATTGTCTGCCTTGACTTCAGTAATGTTTTTAACACTGTTTGCCCTAGGATCCTTATAGAGAAGTTGATGGAAGTAAAGGCTGGATGGGCACAGTGAGGTGGATTGAAAACTGGCTGAGCAACTGAGCCCAGAAGATGATGATCAGAAGCACAAAGACTAGTTGGAGGCCAGTAACTAGTGGTGTACCCCAGAGCA